TGCCAAGTGTGGGCAGGGGGGTGTTAGAGTTATATGGGTAGACTTTAGAAGGTGCGGGTTTAAGACAGTAATCGGGTGCATTCGTTGCTTGCTTTAGCGCATAAAATGATGGTTTGTCCAAGATATTCACGCTTGCCTGAGAATCAATTCCTACTGTAAATTGCTTCCCTGCTATGGTTATATTACACTTTGGTAACTTACTGTTAGTTGTTGTATTCGAAAATGCATAGTCGGGTTCCTCCGATACATAGTTCGCTTTCTTTTTAGTGTCTGCTCTACAGAATTTTGCGAAGTGTCCTTTACGAGAACAGTGATGGCAACTTTTGTCCGCTGCGGGACATGGGGCTTGTCGATGAGGGTACACCCCTCCACAATTGCGACACGTAGATTTTTGGCTGAATTTTGCCTTGGGTTTCTTGCTGAAACGCTCAGTTTTGTGTTTTGCTGCGTGAATGACGTCACTTTTACCACCATTAGTGTTATTAGGATTGTGTGATTTTTGTAGTTCTATTGCATCCTTGTGTGCTGCATCCATTGCTACAGCGAGCTCAACAGCTTTCTGCAGTGTTAACTTATCCTCTGCTAAGAGGCGTTTTTGGATGTGCGAGTTATTCAGTCCACATACGAGACGATCCCTGAGGGTATCTTCCAACGTATTTCCGAAGTCGCACGTCATGGCTAGCCTACGCAGCTCAGCCAAGTATGTTTGTATTGGTTCGCCATGATGTTGATCCCGTTTGTGGAATCGAAATCTTTCTGCTATCAGCAGAGGCTTGGGTGTAAAATGTGATGCTAATTTCTTCTTTAGAGTGTCATACGTTAGTGAACCAGGGGTTGCTGGAGCACACAAATTAGTAAGAAGTTTATATGTCGTCTGACCAATGACGGTAATCAGGGTATTTACCTTCTTGTCCGCCGGAATGTTGTTCGCGCTGATGTAGGCCTCAAGCCGTTCAGCGTATGCCTTCCAGTCGGTGGCTTCGCCAGAAAAACACTCAATTTTCCCAATTGTCGGCATTGTGGTTACGTTTTCACTATCCTCGTCGCCAAAATATGTGATGTTCTTGGTCGGACAACATATGAATGAACAACAGACGAACGTTTAACTCAACTAATACTACACTTTAATCAACACTTATGTTACAGGTTGCTTCCGGTTTGATGGCGTGGTAAAAGGCGCGCTTGGCAACACTTGACCTTTTGAGGTCAGGGGTCATAGATTCTACATCCACCTCATTGATTTTAAAATTAAAAATAACATGACATTATAGCTGAATAAATAAGGAACAAGTTTCAAAAACTGCCAAAAAAATCGGTCTAATATTAACGAAGATACGTTAAAAAAACTGCTCAAAAAGGGCTGATTTTCAGCGATTTCTCACCGTTTGGCGATTTCGGGCCGGATTTTTGGAACACAAAACAAATTGTAATGTATTGACTATCAAAATATGGAAGATGGTGGATATGTGTGCACCACTTTGGAAGCTACAGATAGGTTTCTGAGGCATACTTTAAAAAAATACATATATATTTTGAGAAAAAACCCCTTTTGTAAATAATGATATCTTCCAAACATAATTTTTTAGACAATTTTTTTTTGCGATAAATGAAAGTTAATACCTGGTTATTTACATGGATGATCACAAAAATATATATAGTGCATGTTCTTTTTGTTAAATAAGGTCTGAAAGTCAGTGTTTTTTCACTTTTGAAAATGTCCAAAATTGGCAAAAATGATAAAATTTAGATAATGGGTCGTTGCCATGGCAACGAAGGCTAAAAAATTAAACAAATGTCATAGATATGCTTTTTATCCAAGTATCTATTCATGGTAAAAAATTTAAGAGAAATCCATTTTTTGACATCTGCCAACAAATCTTTGATTTTTATGGACAACCATTACTAAGTTTAAATACAAGTGGAAAATTATTTTAAATTCATGAACTCAATACTTAGAAACTGACACATAGGCCTATCATTAGGAATGGGTAGGCCTATATTAGGCATTCACCATGAAAAAAAAGTTACAGTCTACTGTAAGTCAAGTATAAGATGCATTTGAAGTTCGCTCATCGTAGATCACACGACAGACAAAAAGACGGGAAAGGAAGCTGCTCTTGGACTCCATAAGTAGGAAAACAAGTATGGATAATTGCTAAATCGGAAATAAGTGAATTACAAGCGCTGAATAAAGAGGAAGCTTCATTTGCAAGGGGTTAATTGCTCACATATTCAAGCTGCAGAATGCATATTATTTTTTTTTCTGTCGTAGCTTGCAATGAGCAATCTGATATAAAATATTTTCAATACATCGCGATTCTAAACCATTTTTTCTTAAAATTATTATGAAACTATAATAACACATCTGTACATAACATAAATGAGATGTGTTTTCCGCAAACCAGTTAAGTTTAACTTCCTTAAAGTCATTTGGCAAACGACTGTTTTTTTTTTCTTTAATGTTGATGCAGTGATACATAATAATATAGTAATACATAAAACAATAAAATTACAAAAGCTTTTTAAAATAAAATTATTGAAAGACAAAAATTTAAACAGAAAACAGCTGCTGTAGCAAACCAATTCAAAAGAAAAAAATCATTAATATTAATTTATATCATTATACTATTATATGCAAAGCAAAAATAACTACTGTAGTGACTGAATCGCTAAATCTCTTATTAAATGGAGTTGTTTTAGTCATTAGAAAGAATCAGGAAACCTGGAAGAATTTGACCCAGCGGCCCGAATTAGGAAGGCGATGGTTTTAACTACGAAGCTATTCAACTCCACACTATAATATTAGGCCCTATAAAGAAAATAAATCTTTGCACGATAGGAAAGAAAATTATCAGGATAAGTTTATAAATAATATAGACCAGTAATCTACCAACGTATGACTACTTGGACCTATCGCGACTTGGCTAATATTACACTAGAAAATGATGACGCTACTTAATCTGTAATTAATCGTATTTATATTCAAGCTGCAAAGTAACTATTTTAGATTGCATGGCGAAAAGGAAATGCAGCTTACGAACTCCTGACAGATGGCCTGCAGAAGGCTCATCACACACCCAATAATACCTAGAAATAGGGTAGGCAGCACAAATCAATGCACAGGTCCGCTCATTGATTGGAAACGCGGTGGTCTGGGGTAGATATAAACCTGTGTTTTTCTTTTGTTTCTTTTAGATGGCTGCAGTTCTCTATTTTCACAAGTTCTCACAACTTAATATAATTATTTGTCGGTTGTTTCTGATCTCATTTTTTTTTTCTCTCTTATCGAGAACAACTCTGTTGGTGGCGCCCTCACATACTAAAGATAGTGAGCTTTTTCTCCCTGACGCGGGGAAAGGGGTGGGGAAGTCTCCCCAACGGCGGTCTTCCCCTCCCCCGGCTCCACCGCTGTCACCACCCCTACTATCATATGTAAACGACATTCATATGCTAACAAGGTACTTATTAAAAAAAAAGATAGATATATAAAAATCAAATTACCAATTCAATTTGATGAATAAATATAATAATGGTACACATTACATTGTAATGACACCACATAATGTTAAATATAGGTTAGTTGTTGGTGACTTTTAATGAGTAGTATTAACACAGTTAATTTTAGTACACTGCAAACTTTTATTCACAGAAACTGTACGTTGGTTACAATCAGCTAAACTCCAGGTTTCAAATGTTAGAGAACCCTTTTTGAGTGGAGACAGCTCAGCTCTGTACTTTTCTTCTGTACTCCTAACTACTAAATTGAATCTAACTACTACTCAGTGATATGGGGTGTTTGCCTATTATACTTTAGGTAATGGGGGTGTGTCTCAAGTAAGTCACCCCATACTTTTAGTGTTTCTGATTGGATCATAGAGAAATTCTTTCTCTATGATTTAGTAACTTGTTTACCAAAAAACGGCTAATTAAGATGTATCACAAACTTCAGAGCTTAGGCTCAAAACTGACAATCATAGATTCATAGTGTGAGAAAGGCCAAGTCCAACTGACTAGGGTACAGTTATACAATGTCCAGTTATATTATTAGATTATCTGTATACTCAAGTTGACCATTAAATCTGTCACACCAATTTAAGGCATTCATCAGGTGAAGGGTATCGATTCCAATGGTTATGCAAGTTAATACCATTGAAACTTAATAGTACATTACAATAAAGTAAAGTAAGTAATGTTAACTATTTTTAGAATTTTCGTTGTTTATAGGCTTAATAGCGATTGCAATAGGGCTTAATAGTCTTACGGAAGTACTTATCATTTTTCTAATATCGACACCAACTGTGCTCTAGTTGATGATGTCCACGTAAAATGGTTTGTATGTTTAATAACTAATCTATTGTACTTTGATCGGTTATGGTTTTTTAACTACACTGCCGTAATTCGGAAAAAAACGCATTATATCCATTTTTGAGAATCTTGAGATTTTTGGCTTAGGGGCATCCTATGCATGTAATCTATCAAGTGAATAGATCATATACCACAACAATGTTTATAAATATGAAATTAATATGAGAGTTACGCATTATATCCATCCACCAAAGCAAAAAATTCCGGAAGAGTGCATTATATCCACCAAGCATTGAAAAATGAGCAATCAACCAATCACAGAAGACAATGATGCACATTTAATTAGTTTCCTAGCTGGTGGAAGGGCATAATACCAAGTTTGTTTTTGATCAGAGTGCAAATAATAAAAAAAGAATGCATTGTTCTTCATTTTTTTTAATAATAAGTTGCAATATGACCATGACCAAATTGTGGCCATAATATAAATTATCTAATACACAAAAAATTCAATATAATTCATTTTCATAACAAAAGGCTATCAAGAAACGCGTTTTGCTCAATATCGTAAAACTGTGATTTTGGCTTATAATGCGTTCTTCCGAATCACGGCAGTATAGTTTAAGACACGTTTGCAAATAATATATTCAATGTCACCAAGAATGCTCTATGCAATTCAATTTGAATATAATCGTATCCGCTTTCAACACAGTGTTGTGTTACCCACTTCGCCTCCGCTATCCTCTAAAGTCAAATGCAATGCAGTCAGTCTCATGTACACTTATATAGGGTGATGTATGCAATTTAGGCTTCCAGTGTGGCTTAAGCAATGGCCTCTATTTTGATTGGTTGGACCTAAGCAAACTTCCCGCTTACGAACCAATACTGTAGGCCTGCCATAATTTGGCTAGTGGTATTTGTAACGGCAGACTTTCAGTACAAACCCCTTGAATGATATTTGCTACACTAGTAAGTACAGTACTGTACCGTACTGTATAATAAAGAATAATGAGGAAACGATTCCACACTGATGCCTCAAAAAACAATATATCAACAGTGCTATGCTATATATTATATTTTTATTTATTTATTCTAACTGTTACATCTTTCGGACCACTTTCAAGTGATTTTGAGCGAATTTGCTCTCCTTGGAGGCTCTACCACCCACCCTCTATTTCAGATGCGTGTATTCGCAATGTAAATTAATACCTTAATTATTCAAATAACAACAATAAATTATTATTATTACTTATTATTTTTATTATTATTAATATTATTATTATAAATCGTCGTCGTCACATTTTCAATGCACAGTCGGAAACGTAAAGTGACTAGTGATTTTGGTAAATTAGCTTTTACATATTTTTACTGATTGTTTATGCTATAATTAAGCTGTGAAGTTCAGTTGAGCATAAGGTACATGCTCGATTGCATAAACTTTAGTTACTTTATTTTTTTAATGAATACATAGACATATTTAATAATTGTTTACCCCTTAATTTTACAGGCCTACTTTTATAAATATTATCAATGGTACAAACTGTTTAGATGTCTTAAAAGAATGTTATTTTTTTTTTTATCACAAAACAGAACAGGTTGCTAGGCCCTACACCCTCATACCGTACCCTCGTTCAATAAATAAGTAAATAAATAATGGTTTAAAAAAGATGAAAAGAAAATAAGTCGTGACAACGGTCGTACATGCTACTCAGCCAA